TCCGTCTCTTGAATGTTCCCGGTGACCTTAGGACAGCTCTTAAGACCGGTACCTGCAAAAACAGTGTATTTTCTCCCAATTTCAGCGGTGGGGCTTGTTTTCATCAATTCCCACATGTCAACACCATGAATTACAGCCTGTACTGGTTGAATGGTATTCCTTGCTGTTTCCAGTAAGACTACATTTTTCTGATATTGGCATTATTGGCCTTCCTTTTGATAAAGTAACGCATTTGCTGCAGAGGGACCGTGGAACGTTTGTTTTGTGTTGCGATTGTTTGCAGGCAAGTGTTGGAATCATTAAATGATTGCAATGAAATGAGCTGTACGCCGTGACGCCAGCATCTAAAGTACCAGAGTAGAAATTTATATCAATTTCCCAGAAATTTCCGCATCCTGGGGTTCAAGAGATTTGTTCAAATGTGACATATTTCAGAATGATTCGCTTGTTTCTCATGGAATACAAATTTATTTGACTTTCCCCGGTTTATTGGCTGAATTCATACCCGACTTACGTCTGCATATTCTATCGAATTACTTTTGAGACAAGCTAGCATGTAGAAAAACAATGTCAAAGTATGGCATCGACATAACGCAGCGAAATTTTTGAGATTTAATTTTGATTGTGGATACTCACATGCATACATGGACTCTCGTATATAATGCCTTACTACACCACAAATATTGAAGGCAGGGGGCCGGTGAACTTCGACAACACTTTAGTACCAACCACTTTGGCAGTGGCAAAATTGGCGAAATTGCATCAGCACATGCATCGCATTATTGCTTGTTGAAATCTTAAACATTGTGTGCTTTATGAGTTGAGTGTTTGCGAGACACCTATGTCATGTTCTGGATCCGTTTTCTAAAAGATTTTGTCTTGAAGAAAACTTGTTGTTTTCAAAAATTTCAAATTTTGAAATTATGTTATATATTGTACATGGTTCTTCACACCTTGTGTATCGTGTGCATGAATAATACCATTCTCAATGCCTCGTAACAAAATTTGAAATCAGATTGCGCGCCTTGCACTGCAATATTGAGAGTGTTATCATATCGCCTTGTGTGGTTAAGGACGTCGCAAATCATGCGCTGAAAATGGTATTGGGCATACAAAATATGGAATCTGGTTGTCCGGCAATACTGCTGATTCAAGGTCATGAATGCAATGCATCTTACCAGATACCTTGAAAATCACAACTGACATTTTATCAAGATACGAACATTACTGCTCCTCATACAGCAGACATTATGAGATTACATGTACGTGATGCTGTCTGGCAAAATACTGGTTCTTTTTCAAAGAGCGTCATTTGCATGAAACATAATGCTGCGCTCTAGTAGTTCATCTGTTCCTACCACTTGATGTTAATTCAGTGATGATTGCCTGAACTCTTGACAGTGCTTTCACTTCTGAATCTTCCGGTGCCTCTTTTGAACTTTGGGCATCCAACTTCAGCTATATATGCACATATAAAAGAAGCTATTAGAGAAATTAATTGCTTAAACCTGAATTTCAGTTAGATGTCGAGTTTTAGACGCCATGCGCATTTTGGTCACAAAGTCATAACTGCCATCACCTTGCAGTTTCAAAAGAAGTGCTTTGCTGCTTTTAAGTGATGATTCACCATTGATGTAGTAAAATATTTTCACGCCAAATTCTTGCCTATACCTTCTACACATACAGGGAAGATGCTAAAGATTAGAACTGCGTATGTCAAGCTCGATTGTGCAATTCAATGATACAGAACATTGGACTAGGTAAGATAATAGAATGCTTTGGTATCTTACCAGGAAGTGCCATTTGAGCATTCTGGACCTGTTGGAATCTGCCCTTGTAAACTGATATATCATGCGTGTTGCCTAGTAGCGCATCCCATGGAGTTGAAATATAATATATAGCTAGAGGTCATTCAGACCAAATATAATTGCACGGCCACATTCAACTTAATGGGAATGTTGCTCCGCTTGCGACGAAAAGGGTACATTTATATCATCTAAATACCCTATGGAGCTGATTATCGGGAGGCAAAACGAACAACGATAACAGCGACATACCTCAGATTCTAGGGGATCTAGATCTAGCATACTATAAAGCGAACTTGAACCACAATTACCGTTCACGCACCTTCAGTTTAATCTCTTTCTGAAATGTGAAGTCTTTCGCCCTCTGCCTTGCCGTTTTGATCAGCTGATCTAACTACAATATGAACGAAACAAAACCAAAGGCCATTCATTCTTGCTTGCGGTTATATTCAAGCATTGATCTGTGCTTTAAGCTGTAAGCTTTTAACTTTTCGAAAGCACGTACTGGAAATCGTTTAGTAAGTGTCTTCATATAATGCTTGTGCAAGGCAATGTGGGATAAATATGTAAGCATGCATTCCATGCAATGCATATCAGTACTCTGACGTTCCCATGTTCATAGAATTTGTTCGTGAAGAGGCCATTTCTATTTGTTGATCACAACATTGCAGTAGAAAAAGATAGTACAATCTGTTAAGATAGCGCCACAATATGTAATGTGATCAAAAACATCTATCAATTGTTTACTTATTGATGGTTCCCTAGTGTTGTGTTGTGCCAATCGAGACAGGATTTTTCTTGCATCACCATATGTATAAACATCAGGTTTGCGTCGAGCGACAAACGATATTTACACATATTCACACCCCTGTTTCATTCGAGATTTCAAATCTCGAATATATTGATGCAAATCATATGCATGAAAAAAATACGAATTCAAATGTGTACATCGAAAATTCAAACATTACGTTTCGCCCAAAGAAGGAAGAAATACCTCTGTGTCTTGTGGGACGATGCTCAGCGCCTTTTCCAGGTCCTCCACAGCCTCCGCGTATTTTCCTGTCGCCTGATCAAGTAACGAGCGGGGAGACATCGGCACGGCGCAGCAAACAGGTCTCCAGAGAGTCTACGATGAGCTAATGGGCGGCAGCGCAGCCCCAAATATATGTCATCGGATATCGGTGATTCCATTTTTGACTGGCGAATATGAGTTCGCATTGAATTCAGAGAGTATCGAAAATGGCATTTGCACTTGCAATATTAGATGAATTTAATGCGCGACTGGCTTTGTCAATCATGCGAAAGAACGGCCCACAGTTAAAACATTATGCGTCCAAATCGGTGTTATCTCCACTGCCATTATGTCCTGTACGGAATTGGGGACCAAAGGTGGGCCGACCAGGGAGGCAGTGGATCTGACAGCAAGGGGTGGGTTTCTTCGCTGGACATCCTAACAAGAGCTGCATCAGCAAGGGCGAGATCATGCACATTCGGAGAGAGTTTGTTGTTGAGATGCGAAAGCCCAATGACGCAATGCTCGGCTGACGGCACTGTGAACTTGTATTGCATACCTGATTCGCCCCAGATCTCCTTTGCAGCGCCTTCACGCACAGCCGGTGCTTCGGGTCTTCGTGCAGCCACTCGGCGATGTGGAGAACCTGTGGATCCGCTAATGTTTCAGCGTCCTCTGAGACAAACTAATGCGCCTTTCATTTCCAGTAAGCCCTTGCAAACCACAAGAGACAAATAAATTGAAGTTGTCTTCCTGTACACCTGACAAAATTCAATATATACAATATATACATCAAATTATGAAGTACTCTCCTTCACGAACTTTAATCCATTGAGTTGTTAATTACCGAAGTTACATTGATACGCATAACAAAACCAGTTCCCAACATAAAAGGTGTATATCCAAATTTGCAGTTATGCAGTGGAAATGAGGAATCTGAAAATCTAATCACGTCATCCATGGCAGAAAGCGCAATCGGACATTTCACTACAATAATGTTTGATCACTGCCGGTCAATTGGCCGATTGATGATTATCGTGTGCCATGGCATGATCTGCTGTAATTTTTGATCACCCTTTCTGTCCACCAAACATGTCTGGACGCTTCAAGTAATGCAAACAATTAACTGGGAAATTTTATTTGCGTTATGTAAACGCCAATCCAGAACGCAATGGCCATAGAGCGTTTTCGTGAACATGCTTGTAATCAGTCAAGCTGTTTGATCGTGCCTTGTTGCAGTGCTCTCGGGCCTGCAAATAGCAACCCATCTTAAGAGACGCCAGAGCCGCGTTGGAATGGAGCTCCATATTTTGCCTCTCGGCGTCAAGGCCCGCCGAGTAGCACCGATAAGCCTCCGACCATTGGCCCTCCTTGAATGCCCTGTTCCCCGCCACCCTCTGCCTCTCCGCAACTTGGCGCTGCTCCACCATTCTGTCGGCAAAATTGTTGCTGTATACGTCAGCAAATCTCCAGTGTATCAACATGCCTTTGCATATTATGCCCGTTGCTTTGTGCAGCAAAAAAGCACTCGACAGGTGTGTTTTTGTGCCGTTGCCCAGTGATGCTTTTGCCGTGAATTCCAGTATTTCTCGAATGGGTACACGCTTATACGGATCTATGCTGCCTCCACTGTTAACGAGTGTGAGCAAAGAAAAGGATGCAGAATTGAAGATTGCCACTGTAGCGCAAAACACAGCAGCAGCCCGCCACATGGAAAGTTGAGTTCATTTGGCACCTGAAGTATTTCAACGGCATGCGTCCGGTTGAAATATACACCAGCTTGATATCCTAAAAGTTTACGTGCTTCAGCAACGACTGTCGCAGTTGCTCACAATCGCCTTCTCGGAATATAGATAATGAAAAAAATAGTTGAAGAGGCTGAGCGGCTAATGGCTTCTCCATGCATTGCCCTGGGATCAAGGTGCATGTCCAGCATTTCTGCACTTTCGATTGTCGATCTTTTGCATTCCTCAACGCCGGCAAATGCTGCCCATTTCACAAAAATGAGGTGAAGCATTCTCTATGCTACTTTTGGATTGCTCCGTCTCAGCATTGTGCCGCAAGCTCTGGCCTGACCAAATCCCTCAATGGGGCACATGCTCCTGCCTCTATCCCATACGTAAACTGAGATCCATGCATCAGCGCCGACGCACTCCGAGCCTCAGTTTCCAGCAGCATCGCACCGTTTGTGGCGATCGTCGATGTCTTTCTCCATCGCTCGAAACTCGGGCGTCTCGGGCCTGACCGTGTCGAACATCGCGTCCTCCTCGTCGCTGGGGCACCACATGTTCCACTTGTCGTAGTCCGTCCAATGTCCCCCAGGGTTCTCCTCCACGTACCTATCATACCGCTCCCTCGCGGCCAGCCTCTTCGCCCTCCTCTCCTGCAGTGCTGCAACCTTCCTCATCAGCTCATCTCGCCTTTCGGGGGTTATCTCTTTCCTCTGCTGCTCCTCGGCCTTCTGCTTGTCCTTCTCCTCCTTCTCCGCTTCCCTGTCTTTGATTCTCTTGTCCAGGTATTCCGGGGACAGCTTTCCCTCTTTCAGGCCAGCGATCAGCCGACTGACCTCGTCCACAGTGTCCGTGAATTCCTGGATGTCCTCCGCACAGGTGCCCATGTTGAGGGGGGCTGGGACTTTGGACGCGGGGCGAGATGCCCTGCAGGCGCCCTGAATGGACGGCCCAAATAAGAAAAAGACTCAAACTGAAGGGGCCTTCGGCCTTGTCACACTGAAATGGATGGGTAGGCGTAAGTGTTGATGCTCCCTTCTTTCCTTTTTCGTCTTCCAATTGTCGTATCACAGTGAAAAGTGCAGGCACTTGTCGATGATCCATGGCATGTTCTCGAATGTCACATTCACAGTGGTTTTGCACAATGAGGTGCTATTGATAAATACCAGCGACATCGGGGGGGGGGGAGTTTCCAGACGCCTATTCGACAGCAATGCGCAGAAAAGCGCCTAATCGGCGGTAAAGCGACATTGCATCGCCAGAAAATCACTCATGAAGTATAGAGCTGTCGGTAAGTTAAGCTGCTGTTGGCAAAGGCCGTTTCGACAATGTCCTCGAAGGTCCCTCCATCACGGCCACGGCAGTTGTGACCACATTCGCAGCCTGGCAAGGACACCTCTGTCGGCATCCCACTCGTCCAGCCCCCCCCCACGCCACCCCTCCCGTCCCCCACCCCCACCCCCATTGTGCAACGCCATGTTGGCAGTGCATGCTAGGCACCATCCTCAAACTGTCACGTGCACAGCTTCCCCGTCGGCTCTCGCGACACTCACCTTGAGAGTGCACCCCCGGTCCCAGTAGTGCCGCAAATCTTATTCACTGAAGTGGCCTAGAATGGGGCGGGCAGCTGGGCCGACGCTCCCACAGCCGCCGCCGCGAACCATCCAACCACGAGGCGATTACGACAGACACCGCGCTGGGGGCGCAATTCCCTGCCCAAATGGCATGACGACTGACCCGCAACTCGGCCACCGATTGCCGACACAGCCGGCGCCGCAGTCGCAGGAAGGCATTGCCGTGTCGACTGCCGCCCACCGGCCTGCCATGCCTTGGTCCCCGCTGCTCCGCTTCTCGGCGCCATGGGAGAAGCTCGCGTCCAAGCCGTTCAGGTCGGCACCTGCCGCGCTGACATCGCGCCACTGCCGGGAGGCCTTTGGGGCCGTCAGCCACGGGAACCGCGGGGTCCCGGACTCCCCCCCCCCCCGCAAATTGCCCCCCCCAGGACCGGCCCCCGCCCGCCCGCCGCTTGATGGCCGGATGTCCCCCTCATATCGGGGCCTCTTTCCGCTGCCGCAGCTTTGAGGACGCGCTGAAGGTGGACAACGCGCTGGACCTGGAGAGCCTGAGGGAGCTGTCGGGCTACCGGCGGATTGCGGTGGCACCGCGCGCGGCCGGCATGGGGTTGGAAGCGCAGATTGAACAGTGAGTGCGCAGTGCCTCGACGCTGCGGGATGGTTCAGGAGGAAGGCGCGACATTCTCCGACACAGCGCCTTGGCATGCGAAGCGGTGGTGGGCAATTCCCCCCACGGCAGCGGTGGCCGCGATGAGCTGCATGGATTTCCCGCCCTGTTCATATCCTGTCGAAGCAGACAGCCGGATTCGGAGGAATGCAATCCAGGGAAGACACGTCCGTTCCAACAATGTGGCGTGGCAGCAACTGTGGTGCAATGTCCCTCAGTTTGAAGGCAGTGCTTTCACTGATTGGCGTTCACCGTGACCCGCAAGCACGGGACCAACTGGAGGCCGTCCTGACAAGGGCATATGGTGGCCGACGTGAATATCTTGTGCCCTGGACACGCTTCTGCCAGAAGCAAGAAATGGCAGCCCAAGGCTATTCGATTCCAATTGTCTAACCTTACCGCAACTGCATTGGCCGCCATCCTCCACCACAGCAGACAAGTGCCCAACCAACCAAACGTGTGGTTCACTATGGTTGAAGGTTGTGAATTGTGTCTATCCAGCTTTAGAATAAAATGGAAAGCATGCTAAATGATCTAGCTGGGATCGCCCTAAACAGATTGCCACAGGCTGCCAGAAGCCAACGCTAGGGGTTAGAATGCAGGCATAAAAAAACATGTTTGCAGGGGGGGTGGCCTCCCATAGTATTCCCAGACAGCATTCTTACACTTGCAGTGGTAGATTGCAGTCACAACCCTTCCTTCAGATGTAACTGCAACGCTTGTCTGTGACTTTGCAGGTTAAGGCATTACTATTCACTCCTCTCCGATTTCCTGCCAAAGGTACAGTCCTCTGTCTTTGTTGCATCACCCTTGGCTAGAACAACACAAAACTTCACTTTCAATGACCCCAGCATCTAGAGTGCAGTAAAATGCAGCACAGCTCACCTGCTGCATGGAGCAGCATCTGTCTCTGCGCTGGCACCCAACAGACTTGGGCTGATGGTCCTACCATTGTTTGATAGGTTTGCCCATAATGCAGAAGTAACAATATTGTACTATGCGATGCATCAGCTTTGGAGTGGAGTGCATTGCAGCAGATGAAGCTTGGCTGCTCAGAGTGCATCTTCACTGCAGTCATCTGTGCCTTTCTCAGGGGTTGACATAGATGGTGCTGGTGTGCACCACAGCTCAATGATTTTGGAGATGACAGCAGCAGGAAGAAGCTTCAATTTGAGTGGACTTCTCCAACAAGTGGTCGGCCTGCCGTTTACTTGAAGATAAAGGGACTGCAACTTGAGCTGGCCATGGTGAGGCACATGGTTTGATCCTGTTTCCTGTGTCCTTGTTGATTTGCTGTTCAGCAGTACAAAAAGCACTGTGTGGTGCACTCAAAAGCCCATGCTGGCATCGACATCAGCACAGTCCACTATGGGAAGTAGGTGCAGCTTAAGTCAGCCTTTGCTGGGAAGCACCAGCTGTCTGCACTGGGTTTGTTTGTACACACACTTGTTTTGTGGTAGTCTGTGCACTTGTTGCTGCTATCCGTCCAGAGCATGTCTCCTTTGAGCTGACCATCCTTCGCGTTTGCATCGTTGTCTGAGAGAGGTGGTGTTTCTCTACGGCTCCTCCTTGCGTGAGCGGGCGTATTCAATCGTGCAAGACCTGTGGAATGGCGCTGATGACGAGATCAACGCTGAAGAGCGGGGGAGCAGCGTAGTGGAGGCAGCCAAGATATTCAAAGAAGCTGCTGGTTTGTATCATTACTTGGCAGAGACAGTGCTTCAGCCTTTGCAGGAGGAACTTCCAGGTGACAGGTGATCTGGCTACGATTTATTATTATGACTAAAACCTTTAAGATTGAATGTCGCAAATTTAACTTACATTAACATGAACGGGTGAATGCTGCCTGTTTGCATAAGGTGATGTGGGGCAGTGCATTCTGCAGGGTTTGTGGTGCATTTGTAGACAGGTGCCTTTTTCTCATGTTTGCAGATTCCACTGTCAGAATGCTATTGATTCCATTCAGGAATTTGGAATGCAACAGCAGCAAGCTGTGGCTTCTGGTAGTTTCTCTTAGTTTCTATATGCTTTGTGCAGCTGTTGCCTACAGACATTCTGCACTCTTTTTCAAAGCACAAAATCAGTTGACTGGTGAGGAACAGGTGATGGGCCGCAGTTATTTGTAAAATCAGAGTAGCAGGTCAACCGCCAAATGCAAGTATTGCTTATGTTGTCTGATTCTGCAGATTCCATGTCCCCTTGTCCTGTGAATTTCAGTGAGAACCTCAACTCTCAATGGTTGTTCTAGTCTTCACAATCAATAATTATGCACATCCTTATCAGAGACACGAAAAGCTTGATAGACAATCAATAGTCACCTGCTGGCTGTCCTATCAAATGACCTTCTGCCCAGCCTGAGCCCAGACAACACTGGTCCTCAGCCTCCTTGATGTTTCCTCTGTTGGCATCATCCTGTTTTGCTGCTACTGGCTTGCTGAAATTGCACTGTTGTGCTCCTGCTTCATGTTAGGCCAGCTGAGCTGGTGGAAGGAATGAGCACCTGCTTTGAGCACATGTGTCTGGGAGAGGCACAGGCGCTGACAGCTCTGAGAGCTGAGATGAAGGGGAGTAGCCATGGCCTGACAGCATCCCTGCACGTGGGTGCATCTGACTTGTTCGAACAGGCATCAAAAGCTCTGAAACAAGAGACAGGTAAGGAAATGCAATGCAGAGAGTTTGCTGTTTCAGGCTTGAGGTTTTACCACCTTTACTGTTGCCCAAGGGTGTTTCCTGGGTCGGTTTGGTTGTTTGGTATGGGTCTGTTTGGTACGTCTGTTGATGCAAGGATTGGTGACACGCTGCTGCCTGATGCGCAGGTGCCTTCAACACAGTTTCTGCCAATTTGAGGAGGTTTCTGGCAATGAGCTCGTCTGTAGAGGCATGCCGGGCCTTTGAGCACATGGCCAAGGACCTCTTGTCCGATTCTGAAGCTGGGATGGCCGTTGCGTGCTGCGAGGTGGGTTGCACACTCCTGGAAGGTTTTGGTTCCAGAACTAGGAGGTTTTGTGGTTGTGTGCGCATGGCATTGGGTACCAGATTCAGGGCAAACATGGCTTGCATTTTGTTTGTGGACTGTGGTGTGGAAGTCGCCAAGTGCATTAGAAGAGGCGTGTTACAATGTACATTGCTGAAAAGGCACAAGTGCTTATTGCACCTGTATGAGCTGGCCCATTGTCACAGGGCTCATCCCACATGATACCATCCCAGTTCTGCTCGAAAGTTGCCCCTAAGCTGAATGAACCTGACACAAACGTTGCATCATTATGACGAACGTGGCTTGGGCCTCATGCAACCAAGACACTGTGCATTGATGCTGCAGGAGGCGAATACACAACTGCAGGACTGCAGGACTGTTGCAGAAGGCGATGCTGGTTGGGTGGCGATCCTTGATGCAGAGGGTGCAAGGCTTCAGAACACAAGGTGAATGCCCGAATTCCTGTTGTTCCTGTTCCGAGTTCTTGATTGCTGTTGTCATGTGGCAGGTCAGTAATATGTTGTCAGATGTGTTGGCAGTTTGCCATTTTCTAATTTGTTGGCAAAGACAATAGTTCAGAATCTCAGGCCTGGGAGAATCCCACTGGGCACAAAGTGCTGACAGGATATCCCCAAGTCATTCAGTGTCCAGAATGCACAGATTAGTGAAAATCGCTGTTGAATGGAAAGTCCCTGTGTGGCGATGCTGCCCCTGTAGTACGAAGCCCAGACCTTGTGTGCAGAGCTTGAACGTGAGACGGCTCATATGTATGACACTGATGTCTGCAGGGCGAAATGTGATAAGGTGAGGACTGACGTGCTGTTTCAAAGCGTGCCAAAGAGTGGTCCACAACTGCTTGAAGGCAAAATCCTTGCCAAGCCATCCGAATACAGGCCGGAAGAGCACAGAAAGAGGCGTGGCTCATGAGCTGGTGTTGGCATGCTGTGTTGAGCATTGTTTGATCAAACTGGCAGGTGAAAGCACGATTCGCTAGTGAATGGGCTGATGAAAGCAGGTCTGAGTTTTGGCCTGTTGTACTGTTTGCTTTTCCGTTGTAAGCATTCAACATGTTCTTTACCATCACTGGATGCCAGCTGGTTACCGTACCTCTCAGCTTGAGCTCATTTTCAGTGTGCCTGAGGTTCACGCAAGAATCAATTCAGGAACTGTGGTGGTAGCTGTTCTTCTGACGGAGACAGACCAGCGTGCGCAGAATGGCAGCTGTGGTTGTATTTATGGCAGCTGGCAGCTGGCATATGGCAGATGTGCTTGTGCTGCGGTGCTCTGCAGCCAATGATATGGACAGAGCCGAAATATGTCGTGTGGCTTCTCTGTCTGGCCATGTGTATTGCTCCTCCTCATCACACCGTCTTCTGTATCCAGCAGCCATGCCCCAGATATCTCAAAGCATGCGCTCGCAACCACAGAAGGCAAACAGATTTACGTTGCCTTTTGACAAACACACGCAAATGGATTGAGGCCTGGGTAATGGATTGCAAAGCAGCAGACCTATGCAAAGTTGCACCTTGTTTTTTGTTAGTTATTGTTGTCGATGGAGGAAACTCCAACTCCCTGAGACACGGACAACGTTTTGTTTGTGTATAGTTGTTTGGGGCACCAATAAATTGAGCCAATCTATATGAATAGATGGCTGCCATGCCACATGAAATATTACGCAAATACTACCAAGCTGGTGCCCCGTGAGACCAAGGATTCCAGGCCGGTGTGGCCTTGGTCAACAGATTGCAAACAGAACGGAGGGATACCCCTCAAGCAACTCACCATGAGGCCACAGGGAACCCATAGGGGCCGTTAGGGCCCGGATGTGTGCCAACATGCAGACAATTGCCACCTAATCCCGCCCAGCTATTCACCCACTGCACGGGAAGCACCCAAGAAGCACCATGGCCTGTTAGGTCTGCACCCGACGCCAACCACCCGCATGCCCGACGACTGGCCGAGACGCCGTGCGCATGTCAAGTGACCTACCCAAACGGACCAGGGGCACCTGCCGATGGGCCCTACATCAAAACACTGGAGCAATCCCCATTGATCGGGCAATGCAGCGCATGGGAACCCATGGGACTCTGCGGAGGGGGTCACAGCCGCATGGCGGCAAAGACAATCCAAAGGGGATTGTTTGGAGGTGGCTGGGGGGATCTGGAGGCAAGGGATAGAGTTCTCTTTCCCTTTCTGTGGTGGGCGCATGTACCGCCGAGCACTGACCCAGTGGGGGCCCCTGGGGGATTTGCGATACATACGTGTATCGGGCAAGGATCGGGCATTGTCACATCGCCCTGTATGCTAGGTTGCTGTCTGCAACCTGGCACATGGGTGTTTAACTACAATCAGGCCAAGGATCTCATTATGGTCTAGATGGGGTCATTATAAGGTTTTGATGACACAAATCAATTGCAAATTCAATTTGCGATTGAATGGTACCAAATTTATGTTTTACTGATAAGTTTGGAGGATTCTAGGGTCCTAAGGAAAATGAAATAAGTGGACCTTAAAAAACAACCTTCGTTTCTGATGGTGTTTGGGGATTTGTTAAACTAAAAGACCATGCATAGTTGGAAAGGAACAATAAACAAGCTATTTTAGGAACAGTGGAAACTGCTGTCAAGTGTAACCTTGAGATAGGTTAGTTTATGATGAGATATGCGCGGATTTGCGCATGCCATGCGGGATCTCTGGGGATTGCGCCACCATGGCTGTGTCACTGGATGGCAATGGTCTGGACGGGTGGATGTCGACCGTGTTTGCATGGGGAAGGGATTTTGGGTTTCCGTCCCCTAGGATGCCAAAAATCGGTCGTCCGAGCTGGAAGAATTCCAAGAGAAATGAGTGAATACTCCTGGAATTCGAGTGCATACCATCCTGGCTGACAGAAGGACAGTGTGGTACATTAAATAGAAGATAGCAAACGATCTAGAGATGATGTTGCTGTAGGAGTGGGACGCTACCCTTGACCGGGACCTCAAGCTATGTGATATTATCAAGGATGCCACAACAACCTTCGAAATGCTGTTGGACATGCAAAATTTCCGGCCACTTCTCAAGTCTGAGATCCTTGACGGACTTGAATCCATGGCATATTGAGGAATGGAGCCATCATGGATGGTGGCAGCTAGGGATATTGTGGCGGCGTCTGTCAAAATAGAGCAAAATACGCCTATTTTTTGGCGAGCGAAGACAACCGTACACAACAAGTTGGTTGTGGAAGAGGAGCGGGTTTTGGCTGAGCTGTTTCCTCAGCGAATTCAAGCCAAATGATCAAAGAAGCCTACGACATGGATGAAGAAGTGAAGGCGCTGTGACGGGAGTCCCGTCAGTTGGAAGACATTCTTCTTGGACTAGTTCCCATGGCGGTTGCGACACCCTTTTTAGTCGAAGCCATTGACGAATTCCACCAAAGACAATGGCAAATCAATGAACTCAAGGCCAAGAACGACATGAAGGTAGAAGTGGTGAATTGGCTTGCCAAAAAGGGACCTCGGCCCCTTATGGTCAAGCCGAAAGTCTGCCCCGGTGCTGCCCGCCATCCGTGAGGGCATGGCAGCATGGGGCACATGGGAACATAGATCCCATGCAGGATTCGGTATGAATGCAGTCAGATTTTATAGATGCGCTGATAGCGACATGTTGAACGAGCAGAAGCTGTGTGGTACACTCTATTTAACTGTCGTTTCAAGTGAAGGGATTTGACGAAATATTGCACTACGTTTTCTATGAAATTTCATGGTGAATATAATGTATTAGGAAACCCAGATCCGGAATCTTCCAGGTCAGATGCGGCAACATTATGGCATTAGGGTTTAGCAGAACTTTAAGTGAAAAAATCTAGTGGGAATCAGTATCCAATGTGTACACTATGGAACTTGTGGGGTGATTGGACACTAGGTGGAGGATTTGGTTGGATTTCAAATCCAAATTGGATAGCCCATAGGGGCTATACGGTGATGGGACTTCACGTGTTGAAAAGTTCTGATGTTAATAGTAGAAGGCATTACAAGATGCATAGTAGGGGATCTTCTGGAGCATATTCTGCGGTGTGTGTGGCTGAAAATGAACGTGAACTTGTACATAATCAGACAAGTTGGCAATGTAAGGCGCTCTCGGTCTGTAACTCGCTTTGGTTGTGGCCGCTGCAGCCAGCCAGGCCTCCTCACCGGCTGAGGAGAGGACCTACGAGGCCAAGTGAGCATCTCTATCGAGGGAGGGACTCAGGCCCTGTGTGTGACTGGTGTGAGATGATCGGCTTGTGCGTCTCTGGCCGTTTCATTGCTCGAAATCGCCCCCCTTCGACTGGATTCAAGTCGATTCTTCACTGCTGCCCTCCGGAGAGGTATGGCCATAGCGTGGCCACGATCTTTGCAATAATATAATAGTACACATTCATGTGTCCTATGATCTGGGGATTGGAGCTCCCCAACAACGTGGTGTTAAATTGACCTATTATTGCATGGCCCTAACCTGAAATTACGCCAAGGATATTTGGCTAGCGGACAACAAGGTCGCAAGCACCGCCAGACGGCCCAGGTGCAGAGCTGCTCAAGTGGGTCACTCTCATTGCATCAACCCCCCTGGGGCAAGAAAACAAGACATCACAACAAGCATGTGACAAGACACCGAGTATGTGACAAGAGAGCGCAAAAGTTCTTTTCTTTCAATTTGCACATTATCCAGTTGCACAACAAGCAAAGGGCTTAAGCTGAAACATCATTGCGTGTTTGCAGATCTCGTTTCACAGCGAAAGTCGCTCAAAAGTATGGCCCCCAAATGCCAGCACATGGCACCCACACAACAGTACCCTTGGGGAGACTGAAACAAGCGGCACAAAGCTAGGATCAACTGCCGACGCCTCTTTCCTGTGCATCCTGTGTTGCGGCATCTGAAAACACATTTGCAAGAAATGCTCGCAGATTTGTGGTCGGCTCTGCAATCTCTGGAGGCTGCTTCAGGTTGTCAGCTTTGGGCTCGGCATTGTGCGGCACATCCCCTGCCTTGCATCCCTCATATCTTCTTGTCATTTGAGAACAACATGACAGACGTGTGCCGAACTTGTGTGATAGTCTATTGCTCAACAACAACTTCGAACATAAACCACCTGCCATGCAATGGGCGTTTCTTGCATGGCAGGCTTTCAGGTTTTTTCTTTTCTCTTTCTTTTTTGCGTTGTTGTTCAATTGACTTGGGGAAGGCACTGTATCGAAATTGGTACGCTTAGCGTCAATTTGATGCTGGGGGCCCCCAAAACCTGTGACGCTAAGAGGTTATGTAATTGCCACAAAATCGACATAAACTTGGAAGATGCCCAAAACGCTGCTGAAAAGTGGCGAAAAACTCACGAGTTGTCCAATAACCTCCCTTAAATGTTCAATCTTCACAGGAAGCCTGGTAAAATCTCAAGTGACAGCCTTGAAGTCTGCCCCCATCGCCTGCCATGGCTTTTGCATCCCAATTCTCAGCACACTACAATCGCCAGAACGTTGGTTGCTTTCTCCCTTGAAACATAATAAAGTTGCACCACACGATAAGGTAATGTTGTTAAGTCATCCTGGCTTCGGCATCAGTATTGACGCCAAGGAGAGGAGAGGGGTCTGAGCTTAACGTCCAATTGACGCTAATTGTAACAAATTCGACATATTGTCTTTCCTTAAGCTTAGGCTGTCGCACGAAAACTCACATAGTTCATCTGCTGCCGCTGCCGCTTTATTCTAGACGCCAGTGGGTACTTCGCACACTGGCATTGACGGTGCAGCGTCAACCACGCACTTGCAGACCAAAATTTCAGTCACAAAAAACTTTGTTGAACGCCACTGCTTTAAAGACATGCAAAGAACTCATCACTATCGGATCATTGGACTGAACGCCACTGCTTTAAAGACATGCAAAGAACTCATCACTATCGGATCATTGGACCGAACAGGTTAAGGTCTTTTCACGGGTGCAGGCACGAAAAGCGCAGTGCTACTGTGATATGGCTAAGTTATGGCTGTTCCTTGCTGACTGATCGAGAACCAACATGCCTCTTCGTGAACCATGCCTCCTCGCACCAAAAGAAATGTTAGCCACGTTTCTCACACCGTCTCAATTCTGTCGAGGGATGTCTTGTGCCTGGTTAAAGATGATTGACCGCTGTTATCTGCAATTCGCCTCCCTCCTCCCCCACCCCCCAAAAAGAGAAGAAAGAAATAAAACACACAAAAGACTGCCACTTCAAACTGCAAACTACACATTCAATTGACATTTTTTGGATGCCGAATTCCTAATAGAAAGGGTAGGGCATGTTGCCATCTTCGAGCTCCGCACCATGGCGCTCAGTGCGGCGCTTCTGTCCGCCCGTGCACCGGATGCCAGGGTCCCAGAGCCGTTCGCGGTCCCTCAGGCCCAGGTTGGACGGCCTCCATGCTTCGGGCTGCCGCGCCTGCCGCATCGGCTGGCCGACCAACTCGGCCTCCGCGACGTCCGCATCCTCAGGGCGGGGTCCAAGGGGTTCGGCTCGCCGGATCCTGCGTATGAACAGGAACTGAATCCGCAGGTCGCTGGCAGACAGCAGCGGGGCCCCACTTTTCAGGTGAGCAGGCAGATCCAGAAGCCCTGGATGAAATGCTGTTTTGCAGGTGGCTGGGTGACAAAAGAAATGCACTTGGAGCAGGCAGCGCGAGCGTCTCTGAGAGCCACACCCACAACCAAGCGGTGCAGGATTCGTTCCAAGGGTCTCCCGGAGCAGGCTTGTTTACCTGTGGCTGTGATGTTGCATGTGGGGCATTGTGGCAGACCCACTGCAGTTCGAGGGGAACACCTGTCGTATGAGAACTGTGCCCGTGTATAGTTCGTTGCTCCTGAAATGAGCGTGGTGTGCGCATCAAATGCATCGCTGTGATGTTGTTTGGCATGCAGGAACTTGCCGCAAGTGTGAGGGCTGGCTTGAGTGGTACGAACATTTATCTGGTGGGGATGATGGGAAGGTAGGTACGTACAGCCTACTTTTGGACTTCCTTGTGGCTTTTCTGTGAGTGGTCACCTTTTCCCCTGGGCTTGTGTTTTCGATGCGGTGGCCGTTTTCTAAATCTTAGATAGCATCTCGTCAATACCATTTTCCAAGAAGGGAAGCACTGCTTTTGTCCCTGGAAGGGTAATGATGGACAGTAGGACTTGCGCATGGTTGGGTGTCAGAGCTTGAGATGGCCGTTGCCTTGTGTCATGCCACGTGCAGTTCTTCTTAAACTTCACATTTGTTGTTTGCTATCTTAAAGCAGCCCCTGAAAGAGCAGATTCTTCCATGTTATGTGGTTGTGATGACAGCATGCTGTCCACATGTATGGGGTTTTGCTGTGAATATTTAAAGCATCTGGACTAATCTCAATCGCATGCTCGTGTGTAGCGGCAAGTCCACTGCAGGGCGCATGCTTGCAGATGCACTGCGTTATGCATTCTTCGATTCTGATACACTTGTGGAGCAAGCTGCAAAGAAAACCGTTGCTGAGATATTTGAAGAGGCTGGAGAGGAGGAATTCAGGGAGCTTGAAAAACAGGTGTGTGTGGATTCCAAGGCCCTGTTGCCTGTGTTTTCAGCAAGGGTTGTGTCCCTTTGAGATGCTGGGCAAATTGGAAGCTGACCTGGTATTCTTGGATGATGATGCTCTGTTTGGTTATGGTCGAAATGAGCAAAGCAACAGTGGTGCAAATAGAAGTCTCGAGAGTGAGCATAGATGTGTTGTGGAGATGCTAGATGACCAGGCAATCAGATCTTCGCTTGTTTGGAATGGCAGCAGTGTTAGCATGGGAATCGCTGGACTTAGCATTATCGTCCAGGAACACCCTTCACTACCACCGCTTGCCCGTAAACACCAAGAGAGTGCTGGAGCTGTGTTCTGTTGGATTCTAGAAGGCGTTATCAAGCACATGGCTAACAGCCCATTGGTGCAATCTGTGACTTAACTACCTCTTGACTACCTCTCACTATTGGACCTTCCAGGTTATCCAAACACTTCATGGCTACAAGAATTGCATTGTTGCCACTGGAGGCGGAGCTGTCTTGAAGAAGTTGAACTGGAGCTACATGCAGCAGGGTGTGGTGATATGGCTGAACGGGCCACCTTCCCTGCTAGCCCGTAGGGTTGTGAATGATGGCGTGGAGGCAAGGCCCCTGGTGGGTGGTGGCAGCACCTTTGAGCAAACAGAAGGTGACGGACAGTATCAGAAGACAGTGGAAAAACTGGAAGGGATTCTAAATGAGAGGTGAGCTCACTTAATGGCAATTCATGGTTTTGGGCATGCAGTGTTTGCCAGATCTGCCATGGACGACCGGAATAATGACATTTATGTGCACACTGTTCTGTGGTTCTGTGGCCCAATAAGGAGTGGGTTGCAGATTGTGGACACGTGTGAGATCTGTAGATACGAGACCAAGACATTTACCTGTTTAGCACAGAACTTCATGTAGTTATTGACAAACAACCAGGAGCACACACATTTGCACTTCTGTCTGGTTGCAGTTGAGGTGATTTGTGGCGTGCTAATCCTTGCTAGTTTAGGCCACTTGGACAAATGATTGTAGGTTTGGAGTGGGCTGCTCAGGAGATTGTGCGGGCCAGGTAGGGCATGCGTATGCTGTCAGGGAAGATTGGGTCAACTGGGAAATATTCGGGGCTTGATGGTGTGCTTGTGTAGGAGCATTATGGGAGTGGGTAGGTGCGTGAGTCGGGACACATTCAGGCAGGGTATGAGGGTGTTGTGTAGGATGGCATATTAGTGTGGGCTGGGATGCAGGTAGGACCTAATTTTTCAATCCTGTCAGTTTCTGTGTAGGTCAGAGGTGCGCATGCACATGAAGTGTACTTGCAGTATGGGCATGGAACAGGGGCATCGTGCTTTGTGCTAAGCCGTGCCGCCTTGCATTGTGGTTAACAAGAATTGACAAAAACAATTGCACACCTCTGGCCTGGCCACCACATGTAGACGAAAATTGGCTATTGATTTTTTGCTTTCAGGCACAATAAGGGCATTCGACTATTATCGATTAAGAGTCCAAGCAGCACAGTTGCCAACGATTTATCTGATGGAGTATCTGATAGGAATTTATCTGATAGGGCCCATTGCATGTTCACTTTTCTGCTGCGATCGTTTCCATGTAGTAGAAGGAATTCTAATCTTCATAGTCTGTTAATCTCTCAGTCAGTCAACAAGAGTGTGCACCCCCACACGCTCTTCTTTTGTTGTGGTTGGCATTCGTGCAGCATCCTGTGACCCAAAGGGGCCCTGTACGTGGCCAAGCGTTCCTTGGCCTGCCGTTGTCCATGACGTGCCATGTGGTTGGGAAATGAAGTTGGGCGGAAAGTGTCGTGATTGCTTCGTGGATGGCTTGTGGATGGATATGGCCACGAGAATGGAAATGCTGTGCAGTTTTCTTGCCGATTGCAATGGCAGTGCTGGCTGAAGATATGCATGAATGACTTTCTCCTGCGGCTGCCAGTGTTATGATCGATTTCCCAGCACCTGACGGCAGTTGCTTTTCCAGAAGTGGTCAAAACTGAGTCACAGCGGGCGTTTGTCCTGCCGGGCAAGCTTTGATGTGTCTTTGAAGAAAATGGGACGTAGTACGTACGCTTGACGACCCTCGTGAGCAAGAACATAGGGAGGCTCTCCATACAATGAGCGATGATATAGAAATCTTCGAGTGCAAAACGAAAGTGCACTGCGTACAGTGGCACACATGGCATTCAGACATGCACTGAGGGGCCCACCCTGTGTCTGGCTTTGCTGACATTTTGGTTCTTGTGTATCACGATGCATAGGCTACCACTCTACAGAAATGCCGACATCGAGGTTTCACTTGCATCCACCAGTGATGACGACGCTGGTCTAATGGGCGCACCCGTCCATGAAGTCGTGCTGCGCATGCTGAAGAAGGTGGACGCCAGGATCAAGGAGGCTGCACAAATGCGAGAAGGCAGGAAGGATTTCAAAATTGAGGAGAACAAGTCGCTGACACAGCGGCTGATCGATCTGCAGAAAGGAGAAGGGACATTGGGGAATGGGAGGGATGACACAAAAGAAGAGGAGTGAGAAGAGGGATTGCTGACGACGGTGACAGGTCATGTACACATTATTTGCTGCTGTTGCTTTTTGTGTCCTGTCCCAAATCGTTGTTCCCTCCGCAGAAGAACACGTTGGGCATAGGTCACGGTGCAAACATCGTTGGCATTGCGAACCACAGGAGCATGTGGCAAATATTGATGCAGGGATTGATGCTAGTCGTTGCCACGCAGGGCTCTGTACCACCAAAGTTCAGTTGTCGTGGGCTTTGCCAGCATGATTGAATGCACATTTGCTTCCGCTGATCTTCCTCAGTGCTGAAAACTGCGGAAATAAATGGAAGCAGCGGTGCATGCAACATGCCAAGATGGAGGCCGTTGGGATGGAACTTGCTGGATCGTGTCAGGAATAGAGTAGTTCTGGACGTGTTCCATGGAATTCTTTGCTCGCAATTCACCCCACAGCCTGACTTTGCATAATTTGTTGACACCAGGCTTGGACATGGCTCTCCAAGGTTTACGGTAGACGAGGTGCTTTCGGACTTCGGGTTGTGAATGATCATCCAAGTGTGTCCTCATCTGCACTGATGGCATTATTGGCTGCAGTTTACTGACTACTATTGGACAGATTGGCCGGTTGGTGGACGCACAGAAACACAAGAGCATTTTCCTCACACCTTCTCTGACAAATTCACTTCTGACGAGCTTGGCCACCACTTTGCTTCAAGTCCGCCCAGAATCTGCGACCCAGGCACCCAACCGCCGGGCTGCCGCAAAAGTACACCCATGGAATCCAGGTGGGTACGCCTGCGAAGCTGGCATGCTCATAATGATACAAATCTAACCCATTTATCAGGTACACTTCTAGCAACGGGCCGAAGAACGCGGTCAGCAATGCCATGAACAGACCCTGCCGCGTCCTGTCGAAAATGAAAAAATGCGCAAATGCTGAGAAACAGAGCAAGAGGTCCAACGTGGGTACGATGCCCAGGAGCTGCCTGTAGAGCAGCGGCTCTTCCAGTGCGCCACTGCCATAGTACTGAAGAACGAAGAGCAGTACTGCGGCTAGCACAAACGACCATGGGGGAGAGGCGCCTCCTGCGGCGCCACAAAACCAGCAGTCGTTGCAGGACTGACGCCTTGCAAAAAATTCTGAAAGTTTGCATCAAAACAGACGGCTGATGAGCCGATGGCATTCCATTCAACGGCCGGCTGCAACCTTTATGCATCCCTTCCACGGCTCGGTTTGGGCGCAGGCTTCGATATTCAGGGCATTTCAAGAAAATCGCGCAACAGTGTTCTTAGGCGAACACACTGGCTGCGGATCGAACCAGAGCAGTTTCAGAGTTGCGAGAAAGCACACTAACAGTCGCAATGGTAGACAGTGCAGGTTTTTGGCGACGACTTAGCCGGGCTCTTCGTTGTTCAGTCGCAGGTGCCGCCCAGGCAACAGGGTGATGCTATTCACGGATCACAGGCAGCCCCCCGCCAAAAATGAAAGGAAAGTGAGCAGAGGCCAATGGGTGCAATTCGACAGCAGCATTCTGCCACCACGGGCAGCAAAACATGTTTGTGCACGAACAGCAACCACTCGTGCCGTGAGCTATTCCTTCCGTACCTTGTGGCTCTTGCTTTGTCCAGTCGTCCAGAAGGGGATGTGCCACCCCCAGAACGATGCCAGCGAGCCCGAACAACAGTGGCACCCACCAGCAGGTCTCAAGACTGTAGTTAACCTGCATGACATTCATTCATTCATTCATTCGATCCAGCAGCCAACCAATGGATGAGTAAGTCAATCAGTCTTTTATTCGATTGATGAATCGATCAACCAATGGAGGTACTTTACATGAAAGCAAGCAGCCGCCATCAGATCTGGAAGATCAGGAAGAGGGGGATTCTGCATTAAATTGGATTTCATTGAACGTGTCATTGGCACTGCGTTTCTGGAAGCGCTTTCCCTCTTGAATGGTGACGGAATTCGGAATGGAACAGGACGGTGACAACTACAGGGCCCTGAGTGGAAATAACAAACCCAACAGCAAAAGCAATTCACACTACGTGCAAGCGTGTTCACCATTGCACCATTGCATCTAAACCAGAAATGTTCTGCTTGCCTTGAGAGCGCAACTGTTCCTGATCACATTCCAAGGTTATTCGATATTATGCAGCATCAACTGTCCTTCCTACACTGGCAAAATCTCCATTGGAGATGCATTCACTGGGTATGCAAAACCAAGCTTATATCCTCAACCTGGGTCTTCATCCCTGACTGGGACGCCTGCAGTGTGCATTAGTCATGGTGGCAAAGATGGAGACACATTCTGCCTTCACCACAATCGTTCAATCATGAAACAGAAGGGCCAGTTTGCTCCCCATCTATGGGAAGTACCCTTGAAGCCTGGCAATGCAAAGGACTTCCAGCGCAAGGCAACACATCCCAGAATAGGACCTTCTGTTCCCACTCACCAGTGGAACTTTGAGGAACAGAGGTTGATGATAGTGTAGCACGTTGTGCGAGGAATGGAATCCATCGCACGCTGGTCCAACCACTGCTCCAGCAACGAAGCTGAACGTTGCCAGTTTGGCAAGAGACAGCCAAGGGGCGTTCAGACTGTCTGATGCACAACATGTGCCTCACAACAACAGACACAGGAAAAGGGCACCGCAGCAATGCATTCAGAAAGTGGCCAGTAAACCACAGCAGGCATCTGGCTTTCAAGTTCGCTGCTTGAGTATTTGATGTTGCCTGTGTAACCCTCGACTCTGTGTACTTGCTGTTTGGCTCCAACACGTTGCATCATGTATTTTGGAACAACCAAACACAACATCTCTGTCTTATGCCACCTGACAACAATGGTCAGAAATGAGAAATGGAATCCTTTTTGCTCAGATGAATTCCATCCTGTGTTGGTGGCTGGGATTTGGGAACAAATGAGTTGTCCAAGTGTTGCTGTTGTCTGGAAGGATCCATGTGGGCTCCGGATTAAATAACACCAGATTTCAATGGTGAACAAACAAATCTACAACATGCCCACAATTCGTAATTCTCATCCCCTGAGCACAAGCGATCGTCATGGGTGAAACATATGCCATGAAACAGCCATAGGCTGGCTTATCGATCCAGTTGCTTGGATGTGCCATGCACAATTGCAGTTGCGGGGAAGCAGGATGTAACAGTCTGGTCCACACCGCACGAGGTGGTGGGGTTTGGCCTTGAGAGAATATACATCTGCACTCATACAGCATACATCTGTATTCTTCTGCAGTTGCACACTGTTCACAGTTTGTGGTTGTCGATCAATACACATTAGCCTCCTTTCTACCCATTGATCAGAAAGGTGCAGCACCAATTGAAGGCATGTCAACTTCTTACAAGTGCAGTGTCTGTGTCTCTTGATGAACATTCCATCAAAGCTGAAGGGCAGAGAGGTCAATCAGCATTTAAACGCGGTCCATTATGTTTTTGAGTCTTGCACTGTGCCTTCCTATCCCAGCTACAGTTTCAGGTGGGAATCTCTGGTACCTACGAACATCTGGATTGCCCACACACCTCCTGGCAGTGACAAAATCAGTAAGACCACACATCTTTGAATAAACAACACACTTGCAAGCTTGGCAATAATGCAACGACATGTAAAGAGAGATTTGCCATCTCTGTGCCCTTGGATGGCCACCACAGGGTTGCGAACACAACTGGTTCCATTCAACGTGGATTTGCCAAATCTTACCGATGGAGTCATTCGAAGCACGGATTGCCATGATCATCCCACTTCCCGTCCACTTCCCGAGCCGATGGGGTCCCTTGGACAGCCAGAGGCGTCCTTTGCGCGTTGAGGGGAGATCCATCAGGGGCCAACGCCGCTTCACCAGTCCCTGCCAATAGGGGGGCATCCCCGTATGGTGCAACGCACAATTGATGAAACCGGTCGCCGTCATGAAGACAAGTGACCACAAGTGGTTCGGAGACGTTCTTTACGACTGATCACGAGGCCACCTTGCTCGCTGGACCGGTCGGTGCCTTGGGTTCTCCGAGCAAGACGGCCCTGGCGGATGGATGCCAGGAAACTGTGCCATCCATTGAGCGCTGCAGGAATCGGCAAGTGCGGCTCTCATCTCCACTGAAGCCACCCAGCAGACAACAATGTCAACACAAGACCGAAAGGTGGCATACAACTACTGGCTACACCAAATCGGTGACTGTTTGCATCAAATCCCTCCGAAATTAACCTAACCCAAACGCTAAACCCTAAAACCTAGACCTACCCTAAACCTAAACCTAAACCTAACCATAATGCTGGGGTTAGGACATAGTGCGCACGTGATTTGCTGCAAGCAGTCACCGATTTGGCGCAGGCAGCAACATTATTTTACCGAAGGTTCGCCAAAAAGACTACTGCGGCAATGTATTGTCGGTGCGCACCAGCAGCCTGCTGGCTGTCGCCGGGATAATGTTGTGCTGCCCTCGCTTGGAAACTGACCAAATGCGTTCCAACAAACGCATCTCGGCAGTGTGTTATCACCACTAAAGGAACCCCCGCCAAGTTCATGGGTGGTCCTTGCGCTGTTGGGATCTGTTGGGAGCTCCAGCCATGAAGTACGCACAGCTGGTGCTGGGCCCGGCGGGCGTGGGGAAGGTGAGCAAAAATTCGATTGCCGTCTTTCAGCCCATGCGAGCGTCGGCATCGGCAAAAGGGGGCAGCCCCAGGCCTCGGTGCCTTTGGGCAAGGCCTCGAGGGGAATGGGTCCGAAATTGCGGTCGCTTGCCTCAGAGACATGACTTCTTCCCTCTGCAACAGTCGACCTACTGCGAGCGGCTGTCGCAGCACTGCGAAGTTGTAGGGAGGCCCATACACATCGTCAATCTTGGTAATTGCACCACGAGAGAAGCTTCAGAGTGCGTTCCTTTCTGCGTGAGCGGCACAACCGCATTGCCTTCTCCACCAGGTCCTTGTTGGCAAAAAAGGCGCGGAATTCATTATTCTTGACTTGCCTGCTGTGCTGTCTCCAATGTGGGCTGGGATTTTTGAACCCACGATGGGAATTGCGAACTGATTTGGACGTGAGTGCCAACCGCTTTGACAATGACCTTGAACATCAAATTTTACTCAGGACGTGCCATTCAGCACTGCAGCCAGTTGCCATTCCAGATAGACAGGCAGACAAAGAAAGACAAGACAGTGCCAACCTGCACAGTTAGGTTGTGGATGAGCTGCTACTGGTTGAAGCTTGCATTGACATTCTACGTTCTAGACTGACAGCTGCAGGAAGCCAATCGATTACAGTTGATAATGCTGCATCAGGCAGCGACCGGGTGGGCGCAATATTTCAATCAGTTCTGGGAGGCGTGGAATCTTGGTTTCCCTGCATGAATATCAACAACATGCACACAGCACAGCTGGTTAACATACATGTTCATCCTGTACAACAAGATTTGAACTTAGGATTTGTTGAAAATGAAGACCCAACAATCAAGTTCTGTTCTATGCTGAAGCTGTCAAAAGGTCTTGGACATGTTAGTGTAAAGATGGCCCCTTGTCTCCCAGGGCTGCTAATGACTCTGCTTTGCCAGCATGAGACATCCCATGGTCTTTTGCTTGAATAGGGATATTTTAGTCCGCTGTTTCTGATTCTGCTACATAATGATGATCATTCGTTGCAGACCCTGCCGCTGAAGCTTTCCACTATCCAGTCACACTTGACATTCGTGATCTGGTGACACTAGAAGATGTGATGGAGGAATTAAACTTGGGGCCGAATGGGTAGGTACTAAGCACACAATTAGAAAAAACCAAAACTGCATCTGCCACTTTAACGGATTGATCGCTGAATGGCAACATTGTGTTCGTTGAAAGTACTCAGAGAGTTAGTCAAACTTTTGTGCAATACTGGCGAATAACAAGGATGGGCGACTGTCAACCCCGTGCAGTGATGCTCAGCTACAATTTGTCAAATCAGAATCATTGTCCAGTGGTGGCACGTGGCCTGGAATGAGTTTTGACCACATTGTATGCAAGGATGTGTGCATTCAGTCACATGGCGACCTTGTAGCCTGAGACTGCAGATGCCCAGCTGGAATGGTGCCCAGAGTTTGGCCTTTTTTTTTTTGCTGGAAAGGAGCTCTCGGCACCAATTGGCTTTAGAGCTGGGTAGTTGCCAATGCATAGGAGTCCATAAAGAGACTATGCTGCGTTTGGCAATTTTTGGATCTATATGGCAAATTTGAATGATTTTCGTTGGCCGCACATAATATCATTGTTGCTGTTAAAAACTGTCCGCAGCGCCCAAGGTGTGAAGGCGGTGCTTTGTCAACTTTCGACAAATTGATGACCAAGGAAATGCTTCAGGCTCATCCTGAACATCCCAATAGGATTCTTGTCACATTGGGTGATATTAGCTAATGCATGCCCCTTCATCCCCCAGGCGAATGCACAATTTTGCTTACATTGTTCTGACTGGAGAGCAGTTGGGTGGACAAAACGTTGGGGGGAAGACATGGTCATACAGAAAGTGTTTAGGTTTGGCATGTTCTGGAGTCTGTTCGTGGAACATGACACAACTTTCTGTTGCTCAATTGGGAATGTAAGGAAATTCAGTTCGCTTCAGAAAAGAGATGTAAATCTGTGTGCAAGTATTGCCCAAGTATCAACAAAGATCTCCTGCTTGCAGTGAATAATTGTTAGAATTGGTGTTCTTGAGGTTGCATGTGGATTTGCACCAAAACAGCATTGTGCCCTGGTCTTGTGCCAGTACATCTCCTATCCACAATTGCATCTCTCACATTACCAGCAGTGTCCACCACGTTCAGTTAATGTGAGGGTTGTTTGTGGTCGCCACCAGGGGCCTCATGTACTGCATGGAGTATTTTGAGGAAAACTTGCATGACTGGCTGGGTGAAGAACTTGAGGTGGGTCTGCCATGTGCTCCCCTTGCCAGCTCCCATATGTTGTTTGGATGCTCCCAGAAACTGCAGGAATAAGTCCATGCTTACACTTCATTTATGCAGTTGCGTATCAATGTGCTGCATTTGTCCATGCTGCGTGCGGACCCTGATATTTTGAAGCAAAATGCCTTGTGCTGCCTTGCCATATTTGACAAATGCCAGTCCAGGGACTTGTTCAAGCCAAGTGTAGAACTGTTAACCTGCAAAAATGTTGGCACTTCAAAGATTTGTATTTGTTTTGTGATAGGGGTACAGTGATGACGACTACTTGGTTTTTGACTGCCCAGGCCAAATTGAGCTATATTCACATGTGCAAGTTTTCAGAACATTTATAGACTACCTCAAGAACGATGGGTGGCAGGTGGGCCCAGACTGGGAATCAGCTTGCTGTCTTGATGTTTTTGATGCACTTTACAAAATGAGTGAGGGCAGCAACAGGACAAGTGGAAATATGTCATGGTTGTAGTTGCCTTATCACTGCAATGTCTTGACTGTGTACGTTTCAGATAACTTTGACAATGTGTGCATCCACAGTATGTTATTTAGCCATATGCTCATGGCTCCTGACTCCAGCAGCTGCTGACATGAAAGACAAACAACAGGGAAAGCAACAAGAAAGAACTGAAATGATAGTTTTGTGAAAGTGCAAAAATATTAATGATTGACATACGATGCAAGAAACTGCAAACATGCAGTGGACCCAACGGAATTTATGAGGGTTGAATGACCAAACGGCCCTGTGGCTCCTCAAATGCACATGCCATTGTCTGGCTGGAATAGACATCCTTCCTAGTGCCCAGATGGGTGAATGTTGAGGAAGCACATGACAGTTCGTCCTTGGCCATCTGCAGTTGCAGATCCTGTACATCCTGCAGCTGTAGAGTACATCGCCCAATTTGCAAGCTGGTGCCTTCCTTGAAGTGTACCTCCAGGTTGTAGCAAAAATTGTCCTTCCCTTGCAAGTGTTCCAATTTCACAAAATTTTTGTTCATTCATCAGGAAGGCAATGTGGGGCCAATCACTTGACGGCGATTGCAAACACCCTGGGACTGAGGTCAAGTCTGGCTTTACACAATTTCAGAACTGGAGTGTTGTGCCACATTTTGTAGTGGTTTATCAGGTGTTGCCACATATGCTTGGTGTATAGCTGATCCTGTATCACCTCACAGTGAAAAGTCAGTGCCATGTGCAGTCTTGGATAAATGCAGAACTGACAAGTGCTTCCCAGGGCTTGCTCAAGATGCCGCAATGTATTCGTGCAGGTGTGTGCTGTGCACTGCTTGGATTCACATTTCATGACAGATATCACCAAGTATGTGGCAGGCTGCTTCCAGGCCTTGGCTGCCATGGTCCACCTCGCGATCCCCCACATCAACATTATCACAAAGATGGACCTGTGTGAAAACAAGGTATGTACATTTTAGTCATAGCAGATGGCTCATTTTTTGCCAATGGCTGATCACAACTGTCTGAAAACGAACTACTGCAACTCTCCCAGCACCCACCTGTGATGTGGCTCAGGTAATGCTTTGCACATTGAGAATCGATGCCATTTAGACACGTTTAACAACATTTGGGTGGTTGTGATGGTAGTATCCTGATGCTGTGTCCCCGTCACAGTCTCTCAAGATGGCTGTTTTTGAAGTGGAATGCTTCAAAAGCTTGTCATGATTTTCCTTGCAGTGGTGGCAGATCCCTGCAAACCTGCCCCATAGAGTTAGTCGTCATCTCGGCATCTCTGGCACTCCCTCATAGACCAATGCAATAAACACAACAGCCAAATGTTGCTACAGGACTGATGGAGTGAGAATGTGATAGAGTGTGTTGCCTTAACACCTAGTTTGCAGGTCTGCGCATCTCAATGAGCACAAGCAGCTTTTTGGCCATCTGCAGTTTGCATGTCCGCTGTTTTAATTGCACAAAACCGCCCTTTTCGCACATGCCGATCAGTGTTCAACAGTGTTCGCTTGTGGTAGATCGTTAGTAGTAAGTAGCGAACCCTGAGTTCAAACCAGACAATGCCGCTGAACCTTATGCTCGCTTTCCGGCCCATTTTATCCAGTGTTCAGTGCCCTCATTCGTGTGTCGACAGAGCTCCATCGACGAATTCCTGATTCCCGACAGTCAGCTGCTGCTCGGCGAACTCCAACAGCGGACGGGCCCTAAATTCCTCAAGTTGAATCAAGGGGTAGGCGGTTGCATGCCGAGCACAAGTTAGCCCACCTGGCGCATTTCCTGCTGCCTGCGTCTGAGCAGCACATTTTCCTCATGCACAATGTGGCAACCTGTTTATGCAGTGTCCTACGCAGGTACACACCTGCAAAGCGTCTTTTCGAAAGGGCTTACTGGGAACATTGTTTGCTTATACCTCGCCATTCGATATCGTGCGAGCAGGCTTCTGGTGCGAATTCTGAATTTCCATGTGACGTGTGTGTTTTCTGATTATAGAATCTCCTGTGACTGTTGTTTCAACGGTTCGACATTTACCCCAGCTGCGACACCGGGGGACATTATTGCCTCGTGCCCTGCGCTGCAGATTGCTCAGGTGGTGGATGAGTACAGCATGCTGAGCTTTGTGCCTCTGGACGTCACAGACGAAGAGAGGTGTGAAAGCAATCATATTTTTCTCTGTCAAGTTTGTTGACCGCTGCGCGCTGTGCAAACGGGCGGGAAACGGAAAAGTGAATTTCGCAGCGTAGCACATCCCAAATGCACGATTTCTGGCCGGCAGGACGATGGTTACAGTGATGGAGAACGTGTGCAATGGGCTACGTATTTCCGGGGGCATGCTGTTGCACAGAAATTCGCTCTGTCTGATGCATGTATTAACGTTCGTATTTTCATCTGAATGCAGCATTTTGCTGGTCAAAGCTCATGCTCTATTTGTGTCACTGGCATCTTTGGGCCGGCTGACTGTGTCGACAATGCCTCACTGGTGAAGGGAGCGGTGCTGTGCCGTGCTTTGGCAAATGTTGTCCAATGAGGATTTTGTGCTGATGACTGCCATGGATTGTGGCGTGCACAGCATCGAAGTGGTTCTGACGCACATTGACATGGCGACGCAATTCGGGGAGGATGCGGAGGTGAAGGTTCGGGACTTTGACGAGAAAGGAGGCGCCGATGACTAGCGGTTGAAGCGCACAGGTGAAGCACAATCACCCGATAGTGAAAGGCTGCCCGACCACTTCAGACAGACGAGCCTGCGGTGTGGGTCGGGATGCACATCGGGGTCTCTTGGGTTCTGTGATGAAGCTAAGGTCGCCCGAGGGCCAGATGGCGCCTGCTGGTGACGTGCTCGGTCGATTTTCAGGCTCATGCGGATGAGAATGTCGTCTGCTGGGAGGCAAGGAAGTTCGGGATGACGGTGGAGCCGCAGGTGGAATGAAGGGGCCATGAGTTCTGTCCGCGGCACGGGATGCAGGCATGCGCTGCGGCGATTTGCCAAGATTCATCATTTGTGTTAGCATAACCTTGAGGCGTGATGCACATCGGCTGCACCGCCCACAGCTGAATGGCCTGTTGGGATCCGTTGATGGGCACCCAGTGGTCTGCGCTCATGACCTGCAAATTCAGCAAGATTCATTGACTGCTCTGTGAATCTGGGCGAGAGCTGACGATATGGGCCATACATGCTACTTCCTTTCGGAGTGAAATTGGGTGATGATGGTCTGTCAACCGGACTGGCAATTGGCGGTAGACAACATTGCCACATATTGGGGTTGAAAGCATGGCTCATTGGGAATCCTTTTGATATGCTGTTCTGAAGGTTGGATTGCACCGACATCTGGCACGTGCTGTGTTCGACGTGCAGGAATAATGCGATTCTATCACGAGGGTTATCATCTGATGTTGTGAAATTGCAGTTGCCTACCTGCGAATCGGCTCGTTGAGCGTGTGGGCGTGATGTTCCCTCCGCTATCCATTTCTCCATTCAACATGCAATCGCCACCAACTTCCCCAGCTTCTCAGCCACATTTTAGAAAATGCGTTATGGCAAATGGGTTACAAAACTGCACATCTACGATTCCCTTGCCGAGGCGCATCATGTAAGCCATTGCGTCCATTGTGACACCCATCTTTCCCCGTTGCGTTATTCACGTCGCCATCTTAACGTATGTTGCCAAATTTTCTGGTGTTGTGTCTCAACACAGTTCAAAATTCTAGGCAATTTTGAAGATGTGCCTGATTAGATATGCCTTTGATCCACAAGACATGCATGAAAATTCCTCCACATCCAAGCATTTGACTTTTGAAATCATATTCAAATTACAAGATTGTAGGAGCGGAATCTTCTGGAGCGTAGCGCCAAATCACCCTATCACCCAATGACCCTATCAATGAACATCGCCTTGGGAATCAACCACGCCAGTTGGTGTAACATGCCAGGCACGATGTGGAGAGGTAAGCGCGAGATGGCGCTCCGAAAGCATGATCACACCAGAAGCCCACCAGAAATGGCAGACGTACTACCTACCACGTTCCGCTCGATGAGCCGCACCATGACGTACGATACAAACTGAAAATCCGATTCACAAATATACCTTAGTGTGGTCCACACTATAGCCACAATCCATCGCCAGCCTCGTGACGTTTGCACACTTAAGAGCTCAAGGAAAAAGCTTATATTCTGGCGAGAGGCCCTCAACAAGCGTATCAGGGCAAGGCTTGGACCCAAGGGGGAGGGGGAGGCAAGGTGTGCCAGTACACCACGTGTGGCACAGTCGGTCATTGGTGCGGGGGAAGCTGGGGGGGCAGCGTTGGGGCTCACTGTTGTTGCACAATCGCGATCGCAGGATGGCTGCCCAATATGGCATTATGCTGTGATAGATAGCTTTTAAGGCTATGATAGCTATCGCCACTCCTATTGTGGCACTTGTGAACACCACTCTCGCTCTAACTGCCAACAGCTCCACTGTTGCTAATTGGGGTGTTCTTCAGGTGGCCATTTTGGGGGCAATATGGGTGTGAAACTGGCGCCATTGCTAGTGCTCCAATCGCTCCATCTTGCGTAGATGCGAGGGCAATGATGGACATCTTGTTGGTCATTGGGGAATTGAGCAAAAACTGGCGTTACAGCGGGGATTGCACACCCACATAACCATTGACGATATTGACGCATGATATCATTCAGTGGGTGTTTGACACAACGAAGTGGTCAAAAAGGATTTCATGAAACAATGCACTCTCCACTACACGTCTTTCAGCCAGGCAGCACGTCACACTGGGGCATCGTCAACTTGGCAATTGACATGAGCATCGATGGCGGGGCGACTAGTACTGCAAAGTGGAAAGCCCTAGAAGAACGTGTGAGGGTATTGCTACCACAAATTTTCCTCACCCAACAATTTCATATGGCGGGAATAGATTGGCGCTCCCAAGAACCATGTTTCGATATTCTTGACTACTGTATGCTCTAAAAGAGCATAGTATGCCGACACTTGCAACAAAGTTACCGTACAAATCAAGGCGCTGGAGCTCCACCCAATGTACAATGTACACCTACCGATGGCACAGGACACATGCCACCGATGATACTTGCCGAACTCACCATCAAGCCACAAACACAAGCTGTCTCTATTGAATGTCATGAACTTGCCTATGAACTTGCGTCATGAAATTCATACAGGAGACTCTCTCTCCATTGCCTTCATGTCATATTCAGGTTAGCAATGGCAACGTTGTTAACAAATTGTTAATGACAATCGTTTTAAGCGTTGGCTTGCACAAATGCCCAAATCAGCAAATCACCCAAATCAACAAATTGCCGATGGAGTGCCACACCATTGAACCAGGTGTAAATATTGCTTCATTTCCTGGCTTCGTATTGCAATTTCCAAATCCAAATTATCATCATACTCCTGATCCCAAGAAATATTCTTGCGGGGGATCCAAATTTACCATATTGGCTACAATGTGGTATTGGCCCTTGCATGTGACATTAAAGTGTGCAACATGTGGCTCATCAAGATTGAAGTCAAGAAGGCTCACAAACTTGAGGGAAATATGCGCTTCGACCTCAACGTGTTTAAGACAACTTAATAGAAGTACCTATGTTTTTTGGTTGTAGCTGCACTGATTTCACATTGCAATGACTCTTTGATCCCAATAGAATTCCTAGTGCCATTTAACAAGGAATTCATTACCTCAGATCACTACAATTGCTAGTTGAATTTGGTGATTTCTTGTTCCTATCTTTGTTGATGTTGGCGCTGGTTGACAGAATAGAGCTCAGTGACTCACGAAATTCTTGCAGTGCATACTTCTCAATTCTTGTCCATTTTCCATTTCCCTTCCAGTTCCAATCTAGTACAGAAAGAACAATATTTGATAGGTTTGTTGATTAATATGATTCCAAATGTATGCCTTATTCCTTAGACCGCCGTTTATGGCACTGAGGAGCCAATGGATTGAGCCAGTGGGGAGGAGCAGGACATGGATTGGGATGGACCGATGAAGTGGGGCTGGGGTAGTGAGGAGCAGGACAAGGATTGGGAGTGCCCTATGGGCAGCGGCGCTCCCAATAGATTCCGTTGCTGAAGTTCCCTCAAGCAAGAAAGTTCTGGAATCAAAAGTTCACGGCAAGCAGTAGCTCATCTTGAGTTCAATTTTGTTTTGGCATGGATATAGCTAAAGCCACAGCCATTCAATTCGATCGGTAAAAAACACGTATAGGTTTAAAGTTTAATTTCTGCCATCTACTTGGAACCGACTAAAGCAACTATACGACAAGTCCAATGCCAAATTTCGAATCTCAGTGAATTTTGATTGTCCATGGAATGTATTTAAAGACAAAATTTGTAAACAGGAGAAGATGCAAAGTTAATTCTCTTCTTGAAATTACCCATTAGAATTAGTACGTAAGGCAATATCAAACACGATTGTGGCCACTATGTCTTTGAACACTTACAACGCATGTCGCAAGCGCACTCTTGGATGAACATACCTAACACAATCTTTTTGAACTTTTTCTCGACGACTTCAAAATGGAATTCCCGTACACCCTCGTCAAAGAAATTAGTAATACATGAAGGGCAGACCATACTATGATCAGCTTTCAATGGTCTATAGATTGGTCATCCCACATATATATCCTATTTTCATAAACAGGAGAATCGCCATCTTTGAACAGTGCATAGCTAACCTTGATGCAAAAGGCATCATTTTATAATATGGAATCCACACTTATGCATTTTGTCTTTATTTTAAGAAAAATTTCCCTAGCAGCAATCATGCAACACCTTGTCTACTTTTGCCACCTATTCAAACAATCCACTCTGTTTTTTGATATAGGATGCTGCTTGTAGCATGCGTGGTTATGATTGCACAATATGCAATATGTTTTGAGGCTATATCTCTCGGTCACCTGTTGACAGTGCTCTAAATATCTATTTTGATTTATATGTTCATGAGTCGTTGATTTCAATACAAGGATTGGGAATTGTGAAGCCTTCATTTGTGGTCGCTACAATCCTTGGTTGTTGAGCAAGGCAAATGTCATTTGTATGTAAATGGTAGTGCCATTGACCTTTCCAAAGTGGACAAGTGTTGTGCCAACTGCCATTGAAGAACATTGCTATGTACAAGAGGACATGGCATGAGCAGCTTGGGCTCTAAAGTTCATTGAGTTGAGGGGGCAGGGCCTGCCACAACAAGATAGATGGGGGCTAGGCACCATGTAATATGTTATTCCCATTAAATTTTGAAGCCTAGGGTGGCCTTCCTTGAGAGCTCAGGCAACTCATGATTTATGAGCTGGATATAGGACAATTAGTTATTACTCTGCGTTAAAAGTAGTTGCTCAATTAAATGTTGAACCATGCGCATGGGCTGTCAACGTCCCAAACAGCGTTGTGGTAGATATGAATGTGGAGGTCATACTTATTGATAAAACCGACATGGAACCACTTGTACTTAAGCACTTAGAGTTTGAGATACAGGAGTCACACACTTGATATTATTCAATCTGGAAAAGCAAGACACTTAGACACATATTGCCAATATTCAAAGGCGCATTGATGATATAATGGTAGCATTGTGCCTTCATTGTTATTTACTCTTGAAGTCCTATTTGTGCTACATTCTTGCGCATGATAGACAGAGCAAAAGAGAGGAAGGTTGTTGCAGGGTG